GGGCTTGTATATTAATAATAACAAGTTGCTGGGTTCAGTATAACAAGTTGCTGGGTTCAGTATAACAAGTTGCTGGGTTCAGTATAACAAGTTGCTGGGTTCAGTATAACAAGTTGCTGGGTTCAACCTGTTTATTAAAGTAGTCCCTTTAATATTTATTTACTACAACCTGTTTATTAAAGTAGTCCCTTTAATATTTATTTACTACAACCTGTTTAAGTAGTGTCTTTAATATTTATTTACTACAACCTGTTTAAGTAGTGCCTTCAATATTTATTTACTACAACCTGTTTACTTAAGTAGTGCATTCAACGTTTATTTATGTACAACCTGTTTGTTTAAGTAGTGCCTTCAATACTTATTTGTGTTATACAGCCCAGTCATTTTGTTGTTGTTGTTACTTAGTGTTGGCAACTTATGCAATCCTGTATCGTGTTTCGTTTTATTTAATTAATGCAATTCTTTAGAATAGTTCAAAATCGTGACGAACATCTCGTACAACGTATAAGGATTTTAACCCACTCCATTTTCAAGTTTGATTATCCGTTGTTGTATGTGCAACGAATATACTTGCTTTAGTATCATAGTAGACCACTTGCATATTTTTAGTATAAAGTGTGTTATAAAAGCATCAAAAGTGCACTTATAGACGTGTGATAACAATACATATCCAATAGATATGAACCTTAACGCTAAACAAAGATAATAAACAGGCTTTTCTTACAATTTTTGAACTGCTTGAAAGAAGATATTTAAATTTTAACGGTGTTTACATGAAAGGCTACAATGCTTAGTAAGGAAAACGTTGCTCATTTACGAATGTATACAGCAATAGCCCACTGGCTTAGTGGTATGATTTTCTTCAGATTTCTGCTGATTTTCAGTATGAAAGAGCGCCCTCTAACCACCTATTTTGTTCTACAGTGTGATCGCGAATTCTATCATTACGTTGTTGTTTTGTTCTACATCATTACAGATTCATCCCATTTCGTTTTACAACGTCTGTTATCTATTCACAGAAGATCGAATCGCGACGATAGGGTTATATCTAGCAGATAAAATAGTGATCCTTTAATATAAAATCTCATTATAAAATAAATGAAAATATAAAATTTGTATCCATATTTCGTTTAAAAAAAAGTGTCAAAACACCGTTTCCTTTAATTTTTAATGTGATTTATATTTACTATCTAAATTGAAAGTTTATTTAATTCATACTTTTGTTATAAGTATATACTTGTCTCGAGTTTTGTAGCATGGGATTATATAGTTGAGATTTCAGAATGTTATTCTTTTGAAGAAACGTATATCAGTAGATTGAATAGTGAGTATTGAATGTATTTCTCTATCTGTTCGCTTACCTGTTTCTTTAACAGCTTGATTTTTCTTACAGAACCGCCATCTGAGGTTATAATACTGGACAACAAGAACAAGAGGTTATCAGGTATTATAGGTCCTTACAACGAGGGTCAGTCGTTAACGCTGATCTGCCAATCATTAGGAGGTAAGATGAAGAGTTTCATCATACTGAACCTAGCAACGTATTATACTGAACCTAGCAACGTATTATACTGAACCCAGCAACTTATTACACTGAACCTAGCAACGTATTATACTGAACCTAGCAACTTATTATACTGAACCCAGCAACTTGTTATACTGAACCCAGCAACTTGTTATACTGAACCCAGCAACTTGTTATACTGAACCCAGCAACTTGTTATACTGAACCCAGCAACTTGTTATACTGAACTTAGCAACTTATACTGAACCCAGCAACTTATTATACTGTAGTAAATAAATATTAAAGGCACTACTTTAACAAACAGGTT